TCACACCTTACATACCTCTCCACAAGTGAGAAAGATGTGTGATTCCCGCCCTTCACACCGTCATCACGCATGTCAAAGGGTTTTTTCAGTGTGGAGTTCTGAGATGAAATGCACATGTGTGAAAGAGGAATTCACACCTTGCACACCTCTCCAAAGGTGGGAAAGGTGTGTGATTCCCACTCTTCACACGGTTATGACACATGTGAACTATGCCTTCCGTATGTAGTTATGATGTGGTGTGCAATGTGTGGAAGAGGAATTCACACCTTGCACACCTCACCACAAGAGGGAAAGGCGTGTGATTCCCACTCTTCACACAGTCATCACGCATGTCAAAGTTTTTTTTCAGGGTGGAGTTCTGATATGAAATGCACATGTGTCAAAGAGGAATTCACACCTTGCACACCTCTCCAAAGGTGGGAAAGGTGTGTGATTCCCACTCTTCACACGGTTATGACACATGTGAACTATGCCTTCCGTATGTAGTTATGATGTGGTGTGCAATGTGTGGAAGAGGAATTCACACCTTGCACACCTCACCACAAGAGGGAAAGGCGTGTGATTCCCACTCTTCACACAGTCATCACGCATGTCAAAGTTTTTTTTCAGGGTGGAGTTCTGATATGAAATGCACATGTGTCAAAGAGGAATTCACACCTTGCACACCTCTCCAAAGGTGGGAAAGGTGTGTGATTCCCACTCTTCACACATTTATCACACATGTGAACTATGCCTTCCGTATGTAGTTATGATGTGGTGTGCAATTTGTGGAAGAGGAATTCACACCTTGCACATCTCACCACAAGTGGGAAAGCCGTGTGATTCCCACTCTTCACACAGTCATCACGCATGTCAAAGTTTTTTTTCAGGGTGGAGTTCTGATATGAAATGCACATGTGTCAAAGAGGAATTCACACCTTGAACACCTCTCCAAAAGTGTGTATGGGGCGTGATTCCCACTTTTCACACTTGAATTAGCGGTGCGAATTTTTTTTTTGATTCCGGGATGCCTGCAGATTTCAAAGAAAATCAACTTCACACGTTTTCCACCTCTGAACGTGTGAATTTTTTTCCCATTGTTTGCACGCACATTACACATTTGTCCTGTTCCGTCATACAAAGGTGTGGAAATGCATTTTGTGTTCTTCACACCTCAATCATGGTTGGGGAGGTTAATATTTTTCATACATATTGCCGATCCAGAATGAAAATCTTTCGAGGTCTTCATACCTAAAGATTTGTGACTCACATGAAAAGGCTCACGGGCACATGGTTCACTTTGCAAGTGGGTGTGAGCACCTGTGAAAAATGACTTCTGGAACATCGCACCATTCCACAACATTTCAAGTTATCTGATGAGCATTTGTAATAACATTCTTCTCACACACACAAACATGTGAATTGAAATAGACCATTGTACGAGTTTCATTGTGACAAAGACAACATTCTCAATCCTAGTCTTCCCGCTGCTCATTGTGATTGATCATCGTGTCGGCGTCATCATCATCTGGATTGTGGGCCTTCTTACTGTCCTCATCATCATCAACCGCTTGTTTACCAACTACATAATAGCCATCTTAGATGTCATCTACCCACATCTGATGTGTCCTGGCGGCCATTTTTTCATAAGCAGTTGCAAGGAGCGCCTCTGTCATACGAGAGTTGGGATGTTGTATGACCTCCAGACGTGTATTGCCGGTGAAAGTCCGACCTCTTAACGTTAAGTGGGGTGATGGAGTCTTTGGGTGGCAGTCTAAGTGGTTGAAGGGAGGCTTGAGATGTTGGCCTATGAAGTGATACTGTGAGTGGAATTGAGCGAGTGGAATTGAGCTCTTGGGGACTGAATAAAATGATGGACTTACGGACAAGATTATTCAACTTGGCTGTGAGTTGAGATTTAAGCAAATCACTAGCTTGAGGTTTCTTAGGGGGTTTGGTCTTGAGTTCGGATTGGGTGATATGCCTGACGAAATGCTTGAGAAGCTTCCATTTATTATCAGTCAAGCTTGTCCAGTCGTCAGAGGATGATGACTGCATTTGCCATTGTCCTTTCTCATTGCGAGTGTTGGGGTTCCACGAGGTTGCCATGAGGGCATAGTCAACACCATAACGGATGTGGATTGTTTGAAGCTAGGTGGAATCAAAACAGAAGTTTATTTTAATACCCAATAAATGAGTCATTGACGTGATCAGAAGCTTTACCTCATGTTCAATACGTTCCACCTCTTCAATACCCTTGTTCTGTCGAGCGGTTGGGAGATGAGGACCGAATTTTCCTTTCCCTAGATCGCGTGCGACTTTATCCTGATCAACTAGTCGCTTGAATATTGGAAGATAAGTATCCCTTTCTTCGGCATCGAGTGGAACTGTCCCAGGCTCAACAGGTGGCTGATCCCATCCAGAGGCTAGGTATCCTAGGAAGAAAAACATACAACCATTGAATACGTCCTTCTCCTCCGGTTCTAGGTTGGTCCAAGTTGTCCCTAAGTATTGGTTGTGCTCTTTGAAACCTTCTCGGGTGTTCCTTGGTGGCACTGATAGAGGGTAGTCGTTAGTGAGAGTTTTGAAATTGAGAACTCAGGCCGACTTACTGTTTGTGTTAGAACTTTCAATACTATACTTCAGAAAGTTTTGATAAAAGTTTCGTTTCGTTCTGATACTCACTTCATGTCTTAAGTAGAATAAAGGTAAGTATAATGACAACACAAGCAAAGAGTTGATACGTTGTTTCAGACTCACAGGAATTCATTCACTGTCTTTTCGCTGCATTTGGCAGCTAATGCAAGCATTTTCTTGGCACGCCGGTACATGAATTGAAGATTTTTCAATTCTTTTTGGATATCAGATGGGATGTGATTGCGAGTTTTGCGTCCAGTGGCTGAAAGGAGTTCGTTGATAGTGTAAATATCCAAGTCGAGATCCTGGTAGTTTTCAAGTGTGATTTCGTGTTTGAGCCTAGCATTTGAATGAGGTTGACGAGTCTGTGTTTGTGGCTGTGCGCCTGTTGCTGGGTCGTCATGATCATCTTCATCTTGATCCTCCCATGCATTTTCATCCTCTGACGAATCTGAATCGTCAGATTCGTCTGACGATGTCGACGAGTTTGTTTCAGCTGGCGGTTGTTGGTGATTAGTGGATCGCTTGGTGGTTGGTTTAGTGGATCGTTTGGCACGCGAAGAAGGTGGAACAGGTGCGGGTTTTGATTTCTTGGTGTTACAAGTGACTCGTTGGGGCATTTTCCGCTTTTGTGATGCGGGTTGTGCCATGCTTAGTAGAACAATTGATGTACAGGTGGGAAGTTGAAGTGGTGGAAGGGTTGATTGATGATTTGGATGGATGGATGTTGGGTCGGGTGGGGTTATGTGGTATCATATGTAGCAAGTATTATTACATGTGATGTGGATGAATATACATGTGATGTGGACAAATATTACATGTGGAGAGGCGAGGGTACAGTGGGAGGTGTGTGAGGAGTGTGAAAAGATGTGAAAACGGCTGTGAAGAAGGGTGAGGAGATGTGAAAAGTAGTTAAGGACTTTGCATGCGTTTGTGGACTTGTAGCCTGTGAGGTTACGAAAAGATGCATCCTAGCATCTTAGGATGCATCTGCTTGCTTATCTTCGGATCCGCTGCGAGGATACGTCTTATGTTATCCTCGGGTCGGGGCCGAGCTTCAAGTGTACACGAGGTGAAGTGCCCTTAGCAGACATTCATGACTACTTTGTGCTGAGCGCAATTTTCTGTTTTTTGTCAAATGAGTATCAAATTTTGACACCCCAATTTTATTGTGTTTTCTGTGTACCATCTACTATGTTGTTGAGAAAAGGTTCAAGGTCAGAATATCTACCTATTTGAGACATTCTTATGAAAAGATTGATCTAGTCAATCAAATTTGAGGAAAACATGTGATATGCATAGTCTCAACTTTTGAATAGAAATAAAACCACAAACTAAATCTAAGGTTATGCTGAACAACTTGTGATTAATGTTTCTCATTTCAAAGTGTCGATCAAAAAATGACAAATCTTCATATACATAATACCAATCATTTAGAAGACAAAATACATCGAATTGCCCCAGATATTATCCACACCTTGAGGAGACACCAGAGACACTACATTTCTACATTTTACATTGCTTCACAACTCGTGGAGTAAATACATCAGAACCTTCAACCCAGAAGAATATAGAGGAATACAGAAATTCTTAACATCTCATTCCCAAACCTAAATAAAAAAACTGTCTTAAGAAGCGAAAGATACAAAAAAAGAATAGGTTCGATTCACAAGTTATATTTCTTAAAGTTCACTCATCAGATTCGAATCTCCCATTGAATCAGCCAAGGATTTCAACATCCTAGTCTTTTCTCCAATCGATTCTTTATGTCTTAAAATCACTCCCAAAGTAGAATTCATCTCATCTACATTTTCTTTGGTTAATTGTGCTATTCTTCTTTTAGTTTCACTGTGCCTGCTCCCCCCCCCCAACACACAAAGAAACATATACAAAGAAAATCGGTTTTCAGAACGTGGAAATTTTGCAGAGACGTCAGGTGAAAAAAACTTACCTGACTCTCAATGCTTCTACTTCATGTTTCAAAGTCAATTGATTGTTTTCTCTTACACTTTGTAATTCATGAATCCTACGTAAAAGCGAGTCGGTTTGTTCGTTCATCATGCTCATCTCCAAAGAAAATTTCTATATATCATCACAACAAACCAATCAGTTTATCATAATCAAAACACGAGATCCGACCAAATAAAGTTTTCTCACCTCTTTATCTTCTTCAAGTTGTTTAGTGAGTTCTTGAACAGACATCTCCAAAACCTGTAAACCTTCTCTCTTCTCCTGTTCAGTTTCATTAACATTCAAAAGTTTTTCTTCCATAGACAAAACTTGATCACTTAGTCCTAAACGACTGTCAATCGCATTCTTCTTTAGTTGAACCAAAGCAGGTTTGATCTCGATCGTGGGGTCGGGTAATTGATCAGATCCTCCATTCACACTTTGACTAAAGTCAATCTCGTCAAATGGTTCAGGTGCTCGAGGTATTAATCCAAGCTTAACAGCTTTGTTCTGATAGCTCGTGATTAGCTTCTCTAAGCGATCTGATGCTTGTGATGATTTGATTTCCAAATCCATCATCGCTTCTGTTAATTGTAGATGTTTCGTGGCTGCTGCTGCTGCCGATCTTTCTAGTTGCACTCGAGTGGACGAGATCTGTTGTAGTTCGGCATCACTGATGTTTTGTTTCTCGACCTTTACCAGTAAATCAGCTTTCTTGTGTGAGAGATCTTTTAACTTGAGTTCTGTTGAAAATTCCAAGGAATCAGTATCCATCCCAGAATGTAGACTAGCTAGAATAAGCCCATACCTGTCGATCCCAAACTCTTCTGTAATGCCTCGTTTTGTTTCTCAGATTTCACAATTTGATCCTTCATTTTACTGATATAAGTTGAAAATCCTTCAGCATCTCGGGCCAGCTTGGCATGCTCTTTTTGTGATGCTTCTAATGGAGACTGAGAGAGATGACATCATATAGTCAATGCGAAAGCACTTCAAGTCATCGTATATTGTGGTTTCTGGACTTGTATACTCACAGGTCGTGCTTTCTTGCGTGCTGTCTCAGCCTCTTCCATCGCTGCCAATGACTCAGCCTCTTCCATCGCTGCCAATGACTCTAGTTGTTCAATTTCTGATAAGAGCGCATCCCTTTGTCTCTCTGCCAACGATCAGACAGGCAGAAGTCAGCTCTCACATTGCTCAAGAAGATGTCCCACGATATGACAGAGACCGATCCGGATCAGTTCTCATCTACAACTTACGATAAAAGTCCTCAAGTGGTGGTTTATGAAGCTCCCTATCATAGTCATCAGTCTGGAGGAATGAAGGGTATGTACGACCAAGGTACTCTAACCAACGACTAGTCGTTGCCATGGCTTGACAATGCGGGTCTTGCGAGGATGGCTCGCTGTTTGGATCTAGACAAACATGTGGATTCATCATTGCTTCTTCGCGAAGCTTGATAAAACCAATCAGACGTGTCAACCCTGAAAAATGAGTCACATTTGCAAATTGCCGATCACTCACCTTGATGGTCATCACAATCCAGTGTAACATAGCTAGCATCGTTGGCCAAGTATGCATACTACCAGCAGCTTGTAATCCACTCTTAGTGATCGTATCAACAGCAACATACCCCATTTGTTTTAAAAGAGGTATCACTTCATCTTCAAATTTCTTTCCATTCACACCCCAACGGTGCCCTGGATCAGAGCACTGGACTAGATACTTTAAAATGTTTTGAAAGTCTTTATTGGTAGGAGTTTGGAGTGCTTTGATTGTTATGGTTGTATATCCTCTTTCGATTAAAAAATCATAAACATCCTGTTGCCAAGCTGCGATAGTCTTCTTATCTCTCGGTCTCGGATCTTTGCCAAATACTGGTGTACCAAAAATTGGTGCATTAGGTTGATTGTGAGGAGGAAACATCATGCCAGCTGATGAGCTACGTTGAATTGAGTTTTGAAAGTTGGATCTGTTGATGTTCGAACCAGGTGTGACAGGGTAATGAAGTGTAGCATTTGAAGCAAAATCGTTCATGTTACTGTATCGAAGATGAGCATGATCTGGTCTACTTGCAGAGGCAGGCATCCTGGTGGCATTAGGTAGATTTCCGGTACTTGTACTTTGTCGTAATGCATTATATGGAGCCTGATAAATCGACGACCGTCGCGGGTCATTTTGCTGAGAATTCGAACGTTGGTGGTTGGAAGTTTGGGATGAATTGAAGGGCGCGTCCGAGTTTTGAGAGTACTTGGGCTGTGAGTTGCTTGGCAAGTAAGATTGTCGGCTGCCTGAAAAACGTAAATCCGTCGTCAGTATCTGATACATCAGTGATCATTGAAAAAAAAGATAGGAACTTACTCTGGAGACTATTAGTAGAACGCTGAGGTGCTAAGGAGTAGCGAGTGTTTGGGTCTCGGTTGATAGTTTGTGGAACTTGACGTTTCAAAGCTGATGATGGGACAGGAATATGAGAAGAAGCTTGAGGTTCAGTGCTGGCGAGTGTTCTTCGACGTGGGTCCATTCTGATTTGATAAAGAAGTCAATTGTGATATTTTGGCGCGTACTTTTGTGATGTTGAAACTTGAATCGATCGATGACCTTCTTGAAAAATCATCCATTGGATCAGACGCGGGTCCAGCAAAGCTACAACAACCCGAAACATTTGCAGCACACTACTCGACCCACGGAGCTTGGGCGCCAACCCAGTCCTCAAGGCTCACAAGTGTCCACAACCATCAGTAGAGCACAGGCAGTTGAATTCACGGATAACTACTCGAACCATGAAATGGAACTACTTGGTATTTTACTTGCTTCCGAACTTGCTAATGAAATCTTCTCTACACAGCGCCCACCACCTAAACACCTAGCCATTTTCAGCGACAACCAAGGCGCAATCCAACTGGTCCAAGATATACCGAAAACAACAACTGGACAACACTTATTAATCAAAATTCGTACTCAACTAATGCGGATCCCCCCCCTAGCTGAAATAAAGCTATACTGGACCCCAGGTCATAAAGGAGTTGAATTAAACGAATTAGCTGACGAAATAGCAGGTACCACAGCAGAAAATCAGGACTCACCGATTCAAATACCGACAAGCTTAGGAAGTCTAAAAAGAAGAACAAGAACAAATTTCAGCATCAAGAACTTCACATTCATCCCTGGGAAAAACGCCTTCACCACGAATCCAAAAATGATCACAGAAGGCCTTGAGAACCTTGAAAAGGGCAGCGCAGCGGCCATATTCCAACTTAGAGCGGGGTTCAGCCCTCTCAATGACCATCTATTCAAAAGAAACCTAACTGACTCCCCCTTGTGCGAAACGTGCAAACTTAGAGAAAATACTAATCACTATCTTCTATATTGTAGACGTTATTCAAGAGCCCGAAAGAGATTCAGAACGAAAATGAAAGAAGATGGTATCAGAGTAAATTGGAACAATACCAATAAACTCCTAGATTCACCAAAACTCTTTCCACTATTATCAGAGTTTATTTTAAAGACTAAAAGATTTGTACATGTTCACTCCTATTTACAGGACCTAGACCAAGGAGATCGGCCACGGAGCAAGGGACGAATTGACACACGACGAAGATCAACTGATTCATAATCAATCTCAAAACCGCCCATAAATGCCCATGTAACTGGGATAGATTGAAAAACATCAGAAAGGCGTGCTGTCTAATCTTGTTACAGAGTTCGCCGGATACTACCGGCGAGGCAGTCTCAAAAAAAAAATGTCATCCTAAACCGCCCATAAATGCCCATGTAACTGGGATGGATTGAAAAACATCAGAAAGGCGTACTGTTTAATCTCGTTACAGAGTTTGGCGGACCCTACCGTCATGACAGTTTAACCAAAGCTCAACTTTTGTTGTCTTTAACACAAATCAAATGAACCAAAATAGGTCACACTCTCATAGTGGAAAAGAGATTAAATTCATCTCCATATTTACAAATTTTTTTAAAAAAAAAAAAAAAAAAGAGTACGATAAAAGATGAAGTGATCTAAAACATTGAATGTCAATAAAATCCCTTGCTCCGACTAGAAGGCCGAATCCTCCAAGGTACACTAGTCCTTTTCATTGTAACTTGTTCAGTTAGTGTTTTATGCAATTAAGCCAAACGCACTTAAAAAAAAAAAAAAAAAAAAAAAATCACTCTTCCTCACTCTCCCCATCCCAACGCGTTATCTGTTCGGGGATAATTATTTCTTCACTCAAGTCGTGGCTCTAATCATTCAACTCTCAATCCTTAATCAGTTTTCTCCTGAAGATTAGTATCCTATGCCGTACCCATTCTGAAGTACAGTGCGGTGGGATAAAACCCGCGTATGAATCGTCAAGTGGATAAGACAGAGATCAAGATTCTCTCCTCAAAAATCAGCAATTGAATAAGGCAAATTCATAGAGGGACTTTTATATAATACCGATGAAATGTGAATAGATCATAGTAGTCAGATCTCATGAATGACATATTAGCACAGGCTGTTGGTGAGAATAGAAAGTCAACCCGCTGAAGAGCATTGGTCCCCTTGAAGGTTGTGGTAATCTCATGTCTGACTGAAAACATTCAGAAGGCTTAAAAATTCTTCAAAAGGTGTGAAATTGATGATTGATAAACAGAATACAATGTACTGCGAGTAATTACAAAACAACAGAACATACTACAAATAAGTTAATATATGAATGATTTAAAATACAAGATCAAAGTTCAATTTTTTCATATTCAAGTATAACATTCAAGTATAACATCAAAGAATCAAAATAAAATAATCATATCATATAAAACCTCTATCTTCATAAAACAACACTTGCACAGTTTTCCTTTGTAATGATTTACTTATCAACAATGAAAATGAAGGAATTGAGGAAAACAAAACAAAAAATGGTAGAGAGACTGAAAAAAGAAAGAGAGACGATGTGCAAAAAGGGAGATGAAAGAAAAAAAGAAAGATACAAAGACACAAGAGATAAGTAGAGGTCTCCTTTAAATTAACAATAGAACTCTTCATGATCTTATTCAGATGCACTCCAATAACTATTACTCTCCGCTTCATCAGTACCAATATCACAAAGTCGACTCAAATGCAGGATCAACGCTCTATTCAATGCGTTCCCAAATCGAACTGTATCATTTGGGCCTGGAATCTCGAATGGATAACGTTTAACTATTTCGACTTCTGCAACAGTTGTCCTTCTACCCATCAATATCATGCTAGGTCGGCTGCCCCCAGGAAGAGAATTTGTGACTCCATCGATTGTAGGAGTTGGCCTCTTCGGAATCGCTGAGTTGGGTAAACTACCAAATCTCGACATGTTGGGACGTAGGCATTGCTTACCGGCTAATCTTGTCCCTCGATTCATGACTTGATCCCAAGGAGTCAAGTCAGGTCTGATAGGTGTTGAAGATTGAGTTAAAATTGCGGCCGGTGTAGTTAATGCGGACCCTGATGTAGTCGCAGTCGTAGGAGTCGGAGCCAAATCATCGTTCAAGCCTTCATTTTCCCAGAACTAAAAAATCATCATGAAATCAAAATCAAAATTAGAAACCGAAAATGTTCGATTGAGATCAAACAAAGAAAGTTTTTGTGCGAAAATTATCTTACCATTTCACAAGAGGTGGGTCTAATCACCGTCTTTCTACGATTCTTCTTATCAAGAAAAGTAGAAAGTGGTGATATAGAAGATAAAAGTTTCATTTGATTGAAATCTTTCATATCCTTTTCAGAAACTCGTGAAACTGAAGTTGATGGTTTAATGATAGAGGAAGAAATCATATCAAAAACCACACCGCTTGATCTTATAGCTTGAACACCTGCAGCTAGTTTCGAGGGGCTATCATGTTGAGTCATCGTTGGCTAGAAGAAAAAAATAAACCAATTATCAGCTTTCGAACGTCCACAAATTCATCATCATCAACTTTCAATCACGTACAATTGGAATGGAGAGTGTGGTATGGTTTGCTTTGTAAGATTGAGTTCGGGTATCAATGTGCTGGAACTGCAAACTGTCGAATAAATTTTTCTTAACAAAAAGAGAGTAATTTGAAACGCGTGTAGAAGGAATGACAAGAAAAGACTTGGGTAACGATCAGGCCAAAATAAGGATAACGAAGTTTCTTACAAAACAATAAGTTAAACAAATGATTTTATGATTGTGATAGAAAGGAGTGAAGTGAGAATCGGGTGGAAGAATGAGAGTGAGACTGAGCTATTTAACCTTGGATGTGAGTTATCTCATCGACTCTCGAAGTCCTTCAGTTGTCCACTATGTGGTGCGACTTGATAATAGGCACGCCGTTTTATAGATCATCACATAACCATACTCCACAACTTCATCATGCCCTGGTATGTAGACAGGGCAAAAGAAAGGTGAGAAGCGCGCCTACCATTTTTCCCTGAAGGATGGATAACGTGCAGTGATTTTTCTTACAACACCTCCCTCATTGAAAATCAAACCCAGCTGCAGCATGAGACGTCCTGGGAATGGCGGGCCAGTCCCTTGTGCCTCGGACGTTGCTTGTGATACTGGAAACCTGGGCACGATAATACACTGTCTACTTTGAATATGAAGTAGGTGATACAATGCATTGGGAGGATACAATTATCTTTCGCCTTCTCAAAGTCCAATGTTGATCTTTCTATTTTCTGGCGACGTGGTGAAGGGAATTATGAACAAGGTGCCTTGCTCAGGTCCAGAGCCAACAGTCCTTGAGCTTCTTATCAAGCTTTTCAATTCCGCCAATCAGTGCTGTCTGTACCTGATTCTGTTCCTGGTGACCATTGAGAGAGGTTATCGCTCACTCAAATCACATTTAAATAGAGTGTAGCTGTCCAATCCAACTGTGTCGCCTTTTCTTCATCTTTCCATCAGCTATACCATTCTCACTCTTATCCTTCTTGAATTATCGTCTCCGCTTTTCAACTAAGCCTTTTACTTATCACTCAATTCCATCTCAACGAGACCCTCGATAAACACAATGTTTACCACTCAATTCTCATCTGTCCACCGCACTCCAATCTTACCAGCGGCAGATTTCATCTCTCCCAACCCAAAACGTTCAGGTTTTATTTTCAGTTCAAGTGATTTAGAGAAATTACCAAATTATGATGCTACAACTCCCATTCTTAATTATCAACCTCAATTTCCTATATCACTACCATCACCCATCATTATCAATCAGCCTATATTAGAGCAGTTGAATTCCAATTCAGAGTTTTCAACTACCACACCTTCAGGTCAAGATAATTTGAATGATGCTATGAAATGTAAAGTCTTGGATGGGTATGGTAAGTCATACGAGTTTAGTCAACTCATAGACAGAAAATCACCTACAGTGGTGATTTTTATTAGAAACTTTAGGTGAGCTTGTTTCCAAACATCTCAAAATGATCATTCATCGATTCAACGTTTGCTAACTTTTTCCAATCTTTTATCTAGATGTGCATTTTGTCAATCATATATCCAAAATTTGTCAACTATTGTAAATGAACGTGAAGAGTATGGATCCATCAGATCAGCTGGCATAAAAGTTGTTATCATTGGTCTTGGGAGCCATTCGATGATCTTGAAATACGGCGGTGAGTAATCTCTCTCTCTCAACAACAGATCAAATTCGGAGTGGAGGTATCCACAGATTTCTGATTCATGCTTTTTTGACAACAGCTCTCTTCAAGTGTCCTTACCCGATCTATACAGACGCATCCGAGTCAAATGAACTCTACGGGGCTCTTGGAATGAGCAAAAGAAGTTCAGAAAGTGGCCCTGAAAGTAACAAAGGGGATTACTTAGATGCCATGTCCAATCTCGAACTCTTTAGATACGGTGTTAAGGTGAGCAGGATTGAATTCATTGCATTCTCCCTTTTTCATCACCTTTTTGTATTCTTAACTTAAGTCTAACTTTTGTGACATTTCATCAGAACTCATTGAGATTACCAGCATTGAAATCTTGCGGGGATTTGAAACAGCTAGGTAAATAGACGGCATCATTTGATTACCAAAATTTTATCTTGCTTTCAACTGATACTTGTGAATTATAAAAATATAGGAGGAGAGTTTATCTTCGAACCGGTACCTACCTTCAATTCCTCAAGGGTACCTCTCAAGCTCAACGCCTTCGAAGTGAAGGCATTAACAAATTTCAGCTTAGGACCATCGCCGCTCTATGCCGCCAAACCTCTCGTTACAAAGTCGGCGAGAGTAAACTTATCGTTCGATCGTTCTTCAAGTTTCATCTCGCCAACTGAACAAGAGTTTTTACCGATTCCGATTGTAACCGGGTTACCTGTTACGAAGAGTACGGTAGACATTCATTGCAAATTTGTTCATCGAATGAGGTAAGCGATATGATATAATTTATAATGCAAAAGAAACTTAAATACGTTGTTCTCTTGAATTTTAGCTTCACAAGGGATCATTCGTCTTTGTACGACTTATTTGGTCAAGCAGGTATCAGATTAAGTTCTAATCCGAAAAAAACTTTAGATTGGCTCTGAGCTTTTATGTGACGTTCAATACCTTTTAATGTTGTTTTCTTACTTCCTTGTAGTATTTAGCATGTTTACATCTTGCTCAGGTCTCATTTCGCTTCTCTAATACATGTTCATCAATCAGGCCCTTATTAGACTTATTTTTATTTCATACTAGAATCTTGTTCCTCATTAAATTAATCCTACAAAACAATTTTTTTGTGAAACTTTTGCATCAACATTTCGTATTGGTGATTCGAAAGAAAATTGAAATATAATCCGATCAATCAGGTTGAATTTTTGTCAATCACTTAAATTAACAAAAGGATTAAACCTGTTCCTTTGTAAAGCCATTCAAGAGTCAGATCCGATAGGTACAACAGTCGCAGTCCCGTTAGGAAACCTAGGTAAATTGATTCTAGACCCTTTAATCACTTTATCTAAAACCATCATACCCCAAACGATCCCACTAGTAGCAACAAAAATTGAAATGGTCACTACGATTATAAAACCAAAAGGAGCTTCTTCATAACCATGGGTTAAATTCATTCCAAACATACCTAACCCAAAATCATTCATGTTAAAATATTGTTGAACATTTTGTGGATGATTGAAACGTACCTCCAACTAAAGCTGCACCTCCTACTCCACAGGTGAAGATTCCTACTCTGGTTTCCATGGCTGTGAGTGTATTATGAATATGGTTGTGGTTTAAATCGATCAATTCTCCCGTGATTTTGATGTGATACTGAAAGAAAGAAAAGGCAAAAGAGTTTTGTTAGAATTAGATTGTATCGGTATAGCTTCTGAGGGGTTTCCGTGTTGAGGGTGATGGTCAATGAAAATGAATTGATTGACTCACAATAGTTAGTTCAGCCTAGGTTGAATTCGATAGAGACAGGACAGAAATAGATTGATAAGTTCAAGAAATGATCGATGAGGGATGAGCAAAATCTGAGGCAACCAAGAGACTTTGATGCTTACTTTTTCTTTTAAATCTTCCAAAAACCGAAAACATGATTCTAATAAGATTTCTAATTCGGTAGAGGTGTAGTTTTGATGATCAACTGGATTGGATAAATGCAAGCTATGTAAAATTGACTCTATTTAAAATCAAAAGTCAGCTTCCACAAAGATGAAGGGAAACGAAAAAAAAATGTTGATTGAATAATCGTGGTGGATGGGAAAAGAGTTAAATGCCTCTTTTTATAGACAATTTTAGCTGAACTAACCTTTTTCTAAAATCCATTTGAAACAATTGATGATCTTTTGAATTTTTGCTAATAAATGATCGATTTGATGTGAAAGTAATAGTAAATTTTTTTGACCTTCAGCTTCTACAAATCAGCAAAAGAACGTGACGTTATCAGAATCAGTTGATAGGCTGTAAGTGAAGTATAAATCTTACGAATTTTAGCGTTCAAAGTATCTATAAGAGTAAGAACTTCTGCATTCATGTGAGCATACTCATTTTCTAATCCACAACAAACCGTATCCAAACAACAAGCAAGTGCTCTAAATCAAACAAAAAAGTAAAGATGAGCAAGATGGATAAAGGATACCTGATCAAACTTTTGAAACTCACCTGAATTCGTATGGTATAAGATTCTCTTTTTCATGTGAAGATTGAAATTGGTCATTGATAGAAGAAAGTTGATAAATTAATTGACTCCGATCAAAAAAAGTGGTATTATTTTCTGCAGTGAGATTTTCTCCGAAGATTAAAATAGAATCAATCGTAATTAATGCTCTTAAATTCAAGATATTCAACTGAAATTCAGAAAAAAGAAGCGGTCAGCGATTAAAGGAATAGTTAGTTTCACGTTTTTATCAAGGGACTCACAATGATGACAGTACCGCTGTTTATAATCAAGGGTACATTAGCACGTGAATCAAAGTCTCTTAAATCGCTGAACTGCAGAACCGTGGGTCAAGTAGACAAATGTCAACATCAGGTGAAGTAAGATTTATCGAGATGGCTTGCTGAACGTACTTTCAGTCCATATAGTTCGCATAATTCACTTCTTGTAAGTGTTTCGACGATCCCCACTCTACCTAAAAAGATCCAAGAAAGAGTCAATAGAGCAATAAGTATATATCTATGATGTTTGAATGATCCGTGTGATCAAATTCAGTAAGATTGCCACATAGGATGTTGGAACTAACCAAATTCATCAATTTTCTTAAATCTTTCATTTTGATTTCTGCTCCAATCTTTCATCCTTAAGGATCCAAAAGCATTTCCAGTGACAGCTTTGTTAACCGCATTCTTTTTTTCTACGGAGAAATCCTGTTCTGATTCACTCAAAAACAAACAAATTTCAATTTTAAAATTGACAAAAAATGATAAAAACTTTCCCGTGTTCTGAGGATGTTTGAAAGAGGGATATATCGACGTACCACTAAAAGCAGATGGAGACCAACCAGAGCTAGTCAATTGAATATCAACTTTGTTTTCTACTACAAGGAAATTATTATTGTCTTGAATTCCTTTCATCGCTAATAGAAACACAATTCAAAATGAAGATTGTGAGCATGAAACACTTTAATAAGTAAAACAAACACAGAATGAAGACTTTTGTTGGGGAAACTTGCCCATGAAATGAAGAGTGTTTTTTCTTGATTTGAATTGTCAAAAAACCATCAAGAAAAAAGGAATCAAAGAGAAACGTTTTGAATAACCTGTGATTGTTGAAAAATTGATGAAAGAAAGTGGAATAATTGAAAAAAGTCTGTTTTCGTTGAAAAAGGTTCAATCTTGCAAAAGCCCAGCTTTTCTTTATCTTAACCTTGATATGATCAGAAGAAAAAAAGTGGACGAAACAAGTGGTGTAAGATGGGAATCCTCAGATTCAAAGAAAACCCTCTATATAATTGTCTAAAGGCCAAGCGACACAAACACCTCGATGAAGAAAAAGGATTTATCAAGATGCCAAGCGGTAACTGCATACAACTGTATCGAAAGTGTCGATAAAACCAACGATTTCATGAAAGAGTTCGTTTCCAACTTGTCGTAAGATGCCAAGTGATCCGAATTCAAGTTCATGAACCAGCCTAGATAAAATTAGATAATCAAAAATTTATAACTAGTTATCCAAAGTGTGTCTTCAAGTCATCTGCCCAATTGCCGAGCAGTATATATCGGCGTTTCATCCCGCAAGGTGAACTTGAACATCGTAAGCAGCCTCTTGAGGGTTTCGCTCTGCTCAAAATTCATTCCACATCGAGTTGGCAAATGAACAGACTCAAACCAGCGTTCCGAAAAAAACTGGTTTGGCGGAGACAAACGAATAAGATAGCAACACAAAACCATGTTTCCGGCCTTGGGGCAACTTCAAGTGCCACTAGAGCCCACGGGGTACGCGTTGAACGAATGAGCACAAAAGACCTTGACGTTCATGACTCTTCATGAACTCAGGCTCAATCTTTTTTTCTGTTTGTTGTCAGTCCGCGCTAGGGGTATGACCCGGCCCCGCACTTCCAGGGCCGGCCCTGGGGCCGGGTCAAAACCGGCCTCGGCCACGAGGTGCCTCAGATGGCTAGCGGGCAGGCACGGGCAGGCCCTGGGTCGGGCCTGCCTTTAGGCCCGGGGCGGGCCAGCTGTTTGTGAGGGGGTTCGAGGACACAAATTGAGTTAATTGAGCAAAAAAACCAAGACAAAAACAAAAAATTCTTTGTAAATAAGGACACAAATGAGCGTGAAGAAACAATAAACAAACAAAAGACCATTAAAGAATGTAGAGAAAACAATAAATAAGTTTAGAATAGAAAAAAAAGACAAGCCAAACTACGTGGAAAGAATAGTCCCCCACGACTTGAGACAAATCTTTGCTTCAAAGTTCTGATTGGTCATCTGTGATCGATAATCAGACATCACCCTTGAACCAGCTGAAAATATCCTTTCTGAAGGACCACCCGAAGCAGGAATAGCAAGCATTACCATAGCCATCCGAGCAAGGATTGGCCAGTTTGAGCGATTAGTTTTCCAGAATACTAAAATATTGGTACGTTCATCCACAAGAGGGGCAAGAAGGTACTCCCTCACTTCATCTTCAAGTTGAACACATTTGCGACGTTTGATAAAGTGGTGTGGTCTATCATTGTCATCTTCGAGCACAGGGTCTGATTCGACGATTTCGATCTCAGGATCGAGAGGGGGTTTGAATTGGCGAGCTTGCTCGGTAAAGTAATTGATGAGTTGATCTTTGTCAAATCCGAGTTCTTCTAAAGTAAAAGCAGTCACAGCATTGAGCTTTCGGCAAGGGTCGAGAATTGGGGAACATATGTAAACAGGCTTCTTCAAAGCTAATGTGGAATATCAGACGAGTTTCTTGACCATAGGACGAATTGCTGCCTTCAAGTTGGTACAATCAGATGCACCCCATGCCTATGATTGGTAAAAAGATTGGTTAGATATTGTGTAAATATCAATAAGTTGTTAAGGAAAGAAAAACTTACTTTTTCGAGTTTTTCAATGAGCCATTGATAGTCGGGCATTGCTCGTGAGAAGGTGGGATAGTCATCGGTTTCAATTTCCTTGATCACAATCGCAAGAGGTCGGAGAAACTTGACTAAGTGGCCAACCAAAATCCATTCATCTTCAGTTAGGAGGTAAGGCTCCAAAGAATCGTTGATGTTACAATAGTACTGAAGCACTTTCTTCAGTTCAAAAAATTGTTCAAGAGAGTAATAAGTTGAAGACCATTGAGTTGAAACCTTGTGAATGAGTCCGACCTTTCGAGGCTGTGAGGAAGTAGCAATACACTGATCGAGAGCCTGTCTGAGCTGGGTGCTTAATCGGACACGCTTATGGAAACCTCGGATTCGAGTGAGGATGGAGTGAACTTCAAGATGAGGGGTGGGTTCAATTAAGGAAAGGGTACCATCAGGAAGATTGTTATCTTGAGGAAGTTGTGGATCTAAAGCGCTAAGAGGATCAGGGGGAGTTTTGCTGTCAAAGATCGAGACTCCGGCTTTGGCGACTAGATTGATCACATGCGCAACACAGCCATGGAGGTTCTTCTCAGGATCGAAATGAGGTATGAGCTGTTTGAGTTCTCAACCCATGGTAAGATTGTTTGAAGCGTTATCAGCAGTAATGCAGTAGAGTTTATCGGTGATACTAAATTGATCTAATGTGTGCTTCATGAGAGCAGCCATGTTTTTACCAGTATGGGCTCCATCGATCTCCTTCAAAGCCAAAACAACCGATTGCATTGAAAAGTCCTCAGTCATCCAGTGTGCCGTGATTCCAAGCATTGGTACACTACTTGGTGAAGTCCAAGCATCACAAGTGATGCTGATGAAGTCCAATGAAGCAAAGAGGGAAGTGAGACGGTTGCGAGCAAGACGGAATTGAGAGATGATACCGTCGGTGATGGCGGTTTGTTTTGACAGAAGCGGGGCAACAGCTGGGTTGATCCAGGATAAAAGCTCGCGGAAGGAAGGGGCATCAACGAGAGAAACTGGGAGTTCTTGATTAACGATAAGCCGGATAACTACATTCGTGAGGTTTCTCCTGTTAAGAGATCCCATCTTGACAAAAAAAGAAATGTATGAGATAAAAGAAGGAAAGTATGAGAAAAGTTGATTAAAGAGTTGAAAACAAATAAAATGACTTACACTACTAGTCTTTCCACTTGCAGAAAAGGCTGTAAGGGTTTGTTGAGAGGTGTCGATCGAAGCAACAATGCCATGAGCACGCAAGAGATGGCGGCTCATGGATTTGGTACTTCCAGTCTTATCGATGGCAATCGATTCTTGAGACACGACAACAGGGGCCTCCAAGTCTGGAACCGTGTCAACACGACCTTTGTTGGCACGGCAGACATTTGAGGTGGTGCCGTCCCTGAACGTTACGGTTGAGAAATACTGCCACACCCAAGAGGTACGGTTGGTGGCAGTATGTTCGGATTTGACGGCACTAGCCACCGCGGAGACTGAGTCGGATGGTGCAATAGAGTTAGAAGTCGTACTGGAGGTGGTGGACATGTTGGTGTTGGCTCGTGGATCAGTGGTGGGTTGTGGATCGGTGACCTCACGACAAAGGCTTCGTCGTGACATTTGGGTGGATGCGCGTTGGATATAAAGGGTGGGGTGTGAAAGGCCGCAAGGGTATACGGCAAAGGGGTGGAAGGTGTCTCAACAACCCTTTCACCCTTTCGTTGGGGCAGGATTTCACGGCGGCCCCGGCCCCGGGTGGCCCTGGAACAGGGCCTTTGGCTCTATCATCAGGTTAGGGCTAGGGCCCCGGGCCGAGCCCCGTGATGAATTCAAAACCCCTCGGGCAGACTTGGCAGGGCAGGGCCAGGGCCGGGTCATACCCCTAGTCCGCGCACACAAGCGGTGTCGGGTTCTATTTAGATACCCCAGCCAGTTGTCAAAAAGCTCCGCTTTCAACAAACTATGGTCTCTTCTTTCTTAACATGTTTAGATGGGAGCGTAACCGTATCAGTCTTTTTCTGAGACTAACTCGCTCTGAGACTATCCTGAGACAAACAAAAAAGTAAACCGGATGGTGGCTTTTTGTACACTGTCTGTACAGGCTGGTGGCAACTGGTACATATGTATGAAGACTTGAACAAATTCATCATTAAGACTTCAAAGAAGCTGTTAACACTTCGATAACCTCATCAAGAATCAAGAACCTTTGTCGAGTCATCCATGTGCACCTTATATCTATACCTTCAGACTCACTCCAATCCCCCTGAACATTTCAAGGGGGTTCTATCGCTACAACCACTTACATATCAAAGTATTGATAATGAA